ACATGTCAACAAATTTTCAAAAAACATTCTTTGCTGAACGAATTAGCATTTATTAAAGCGAATTATCAATTTGTTTCGCCGACTATTACAAAACTAGGAACTCAGTGCATGGTCTTAATTGAATCTGTGCAGGTAATTAAAAATTTTCAAGCCAATATTTTGAATAATTCAGGAAAAACATAGAATTCTGTAAATAAAAAAGTAAAAGAGGTAACTAATAAAAATAATGGTTAGGTACAAGCTCCGAGAAAACATGAGTTTAATTTTAAGTGGGGAATCACTAGATATTAATGTAGAATTACGTCCGGACATTATTAGTGTGTTAAAGTACACACAATTACAACCGTTGATGTAGAAAGAAATTTTTCTTTATACAAAATGTTTTTGACAGATAGAAGACAGAATTTTACAATGGAAAATTTAAAATATCAGACTGTTAATTGTACCAACAAAAAAATGTAGTTTACAGCATATTTATGCTTTATGTAAAAATACCCTTTAGTCATTATAATGCATTCACGACCTTTTTAGACCGCAGCAAGCCATGGGTGGTAGTCAACATTAGTAAGCAAAAGTTTCATGAGGTACAGTTTTTAATTCTCTACAATTTTTTTACAATTAGGGGAGCCAATATCTCCAAATTCCTGTTGTTACATGTAAAATCCCTAGGTTTAAAAAACGATTGTACCCCCAGTATACTTCATCTTAGTATCAATTAACTTGAGTCTCAACATACAAGCAAACCTTTCTTTGCGTTGTTAAAAAAATTTAAAAAAATTGCATTGGAATTTTAAAAAAGAAATATAATCGTATAGCTTAAGAAGAGTATATACAGTGTTACTTTACAAAAACAAAACGCTCTGTAGATTTGAAAATAGAAATCTAAATAAGGCAGTTTCTTTATTACAAAAAAACGGTTTTTGTTAATTTTTCATTGTGCTGTGCAAGGTACAACTATATTATAATTCCTTTTAATAGTGATCAGCACGAAATAATGCCTTTTTCTATTTTTAACGTACCTCACATCTTTCTAGGTTTCCAGTATCACAAAATTCAGAAGGAATGACAGCATCACCTGTCTAAGATAATTTGACGACATTTTTATAGGTTTAAAATTGCCACATATCTTAACGCAGTTTGCCATCTATACTGGCAGCTTCTCAAACAAAAAACGACTAAAACCGAAAATTGGCTACCTTTTATTTATAGTCCAACTACTGCTTGTATCCCTCTTCCGGCCCCTCTCCTTCTCCTCCTCTTGGAAAGCAAAGGAGGGAAATAAGACCAGCACCCGCTTTGAACACTCTATTCCTTTTATTAGTTTTTTAGACTCTCAAATATATCCATCAACTTAATAAGAATCTTAACCATACATCTAATTTTAAACACTTTTTAAAGTTTCAGTCAATGTCTGACATAGACAAGGTGGTGTCGCTGACATTAAATGACACGACGTTGGTCTGGGAAATGTCTACTTGTTAAACGGATAATTAGTAGAACCACAATAGGACGGAAACAATTATCAACAACAGTTTATTTAAACACGTATCCAAAATGCCAATATTTTAGTTTTTCAGTGCAACCTTGAAATTTCTTTTCCTTATCTTTAAAAGCACTCTGCTTTACAGCGTTCTTAAAGAATGTGGAGTAATTTCACAAATAACTATAATGAAAAATAAAACGTTGGAAGACTCGTTTAACGTTAAAATGGTCAGTAACAAATCAAATGTATATGCAAGCACTGAAGGCCATTATGACATTGCATTACTGGTATTTTGCTAAAAATGTTTTGAAACTTTACATGGTGCAAATTACTCTCACTCTCCCGACATAATAACATACTGTAAGTAAAAGAACACATATTTTACCTCCTATTATAAAAGCGTGTTGTCGAAATAAAATTGTTTGTAATGTGTTTGCGAAATCGTTCTTTATTCCCGATCTTCCATTAAGCGTTAAGTTTATACTTGACAGCTTGACTAGCAAATTAAGAAATAATACTAATATAACTTGAATATGTTGAAGATATACTCTATATTTTTACATCTTTATTGTAAGTGTAGTTAGTTGTAGTTTTGGATCCACTTAGTCTATTGTAGCGGAATTTATATAAAACACAATCAATAAATGTTAAAGCTTTTCGTTGTTCGATTTTTTTAAGTTACAAATAAGAAATAAAACATTAATAAAATGTTGAAAGAAGATATAATGAAACGACTGCGGATAAAGCTTAAATGGGACGTGAAAAAGATTGCGATACGCTTAACTTACTTCGATTAATTTATATAACGTAACAAATTTTATTGGTATTTCAACATTTCACGTACCTATATTTCGTTTTAATTGTCATAAGCCGGCGTCTTAAAACATATTAAAGTCAACTTACTTAAATAAGTAAGCACGTGTTTCTTTTGCTAAGATTAATTACCGCTCATAAATTGAATTTGTAGACTAAATAATAGTATACATATATCGTATTCCTATATGTGTTATTTTCTGAAAAACTAAATTAATCACAGACACAGAGTAATGTTTTCATGTCCAGAAAAAATTGAATAGATCTTCTGAAATATTTCCATCGGAGTAGTTTTATTGTGCCTTCATATTTTAAGCCATTATGAGAATGGGTAATAATAATAACATCATAAAGCACCTGATCAGCATCGTTGAAGTTTAATTACAAATTACAATGAAATGTAAAAATTTATACGTTCACGGTTAACAATGTAATAAATGTGCAATCATTAAATAACGAGCGAATTAATGTTACGTGGTGATTATTAGTTTCATTCCAAGAGAAACATTATTACATACATTCATAATTGATACCTGTAGTTTTACCTAGAGACTGATGTGCGATTTAAAGTTCTGCGATTAATTTTCACAGAATATTAACAATTAATATGTTAATAAAAACATTTGTCACGGAGTTTCAAGTTGTTAATTTTTTATTCTATTCGGAGAGGTTTGCAAATGTTTCCTGTACTGTTTTGTACTATTATTTTGTAAACGCCACTGCTTTTAGCTTCAAGGAGGAACTTTAATTTAATACAAATTTGTTTTAAATTATTTTTGTAGCAAGACAATTGATACACAAAAACGATAAAAAAATTATCTAATTTCCAAGCATAATAATAAAAATAATACGTCTTGAGTTCGATTACTATTCATTTGTTAGCGTCTTACGTGGTTTCAATTCCGATTAATGCATATGATAATGTGCAAACAAAAAACGATAATGATCGACTCAGACATTCTTCAACTGAAACAGACTTGTGACGCTTGTAGACTTCCAAGTTTGGGTTCTACGTCACTTGCCAAATTTCGAGAGACGAGTTACTGGTGAAGAGAGTCATTAATTTCAACCTTCTTTTTAGTTTTTAAAAAACGACATAAAAATCTGACTTGTTGTTCTTACTATTATTTAAGCACATCTCAAGCGTTACAAATTTCAGCTGTCAGTCAGCGGCTGCCTATATCACTTTTATTTTTGTTTATCTATATTGTAATTAAATTAAATTAAACAAAAATGTACAAAGTGATTAAACCTGTTCCGCTCTATTTCTTCTTAGGGTGCTATTGTTTTTTGTGTGTCTAGACGAAGCCCATAGCTTGAGTTATGCAATTCACTATTGGCAGCAAAAACCGTAATAGTTCCCAGAGGCCTTAATTGTATGTTTAAGTATGATAAGTGTCCGATATTAAATCGCAGACAAACTAGGCATACTCGTTTCTCTCTCAGTATCCTTTTATAGACAACCAAGGAGTCGAGCGAGGACCCTAGCAGATCAACCTCTCGTATATTATTGCACTGCCGTGACTGCATGACTCATCGACAACCGTCATTTTTATCCACAACGTCTAATACGGCAAGACATTTTTGCACCCCGATTTATTGTCATAACTGGACTCCCGGTTATGTAAATTGGTCAACGAACTGTTAATTAGATTCATTAACAACCTTGCCCATGTGATTCACTTTTGGGCAACGAACTAACCTTCGAGCGATGGAAAAAATGCAAGAACCTTGCGGACGGCATTGTTTACCCAAAAGGGACGTCTCCAAGGAGACCGTCGACCAAATCGCACAACTTTGCTCACAATGTCGCATTGTGCTCCGAACAATGTATACGTGTACAGAAAAATTATGCGATCCGATGAGAAATCTAGTTACCTTAGAGATACCAAGGTCACGCGACATGTGCGTCATCCGGCCATGTTCAGACATACGTGATATCGATAAAAGCCCAGATTTCGGCCTGCGTAACTCCAGCTTTGCGGGCATTTCCGGAAAAACGACGCGGAATGCTACCCAGATCCGCGGCCAATTAAAATAATCGACGGAAAACAGCGTTTAGCGATTATTTATGGTGGCGTTATCGATTATTGTTCGACTACACAAACGGTCCGGACGTGGGCAACATAACGACTTTCTACGCGAGCAGAACATTCCGGAGATTTCAACGCTGGAGCAGAAAGGAAGCCGAGTTTTTTCCTGCTCCGGCGCTTAATTCACTGGAAAACGCGCCTTGTCACGCTCTTGGTGGTATTCCCGGTATCCAAACAATGCTGCCCTTGACCGATATCGGACACACATTACTCCTATTATTTTTACTATTATTATTTTTTTATCATTATTGTTGTCGTTGTTTTCATCATTTCTTATTACCATTAATATTATCGTCGTTATTACTAATCTTATTATTATTATTGTTGTATTTTAAGGGGGGTGATTGTCACTTCAGCGCCTGGTGACCGGTCCGCCCTCGGTTAATTAGCCTGCTCGGCTTCCAGCAAAACTCGACTCCATCGCTCAACATCGCCAAAGTGCCGAGACCTGAACCTTGTATTTTCGCCAGGTCAAGTGGACCCTCCACATTGGCGTGTTTGCGGACACTAACTGTTTGTTCAAATATAGGTATGACTTCAGTGTCGGCCGATGTTGACATTGTCCATTTCGAGTCCGAAACTAATAAAATCCCTGTCGGCTTGCTACTTACCGCTTGGATAAATCCCTGTTACTGAAGGTTCACCATGTTTATCACTGCACTTGATGAACTGTTCGGTACACTGAAAGAAGAGCGCGTGCTGTGCGTTCCTGCGGCTTTAGCAGCAGAGATACGTTTCCTGCGAGTGTCGCAGCGTGTTTGAGAAACACGCCGTGCCTCGCCTTGGTGCCCACAGATCACCTTGCAAGTCGTACTCGTAGTCGCGTGTAGGTGTTAGCTAGCACCGATTGCGCCTATCTGTCAATGGTATAAAACACGAATTACTGGCTCGGGTGTTTACCAGGAACTAATTTTGCTTCATGTCTTTTTCAACGGAGCGAGATTCATCTCGCCGAGATGCTATTACGGAGGAGCTGCGTATCTCTTGTTGTAAACTATCTAAGTGATGTATCTGCGAATTTGTTTTTTTGGTTTTAATAATATACGGCAAGAGGAAGCTGTTACAGTTGAATCTTGTGTGAAATTAGAAAATGCTGAAAAATGTGGGGCATGGTCTTAAGTTTAACACGCGAAAATGCCTTTTGTACGTTTTTACAACAAGTCGTTTATATCAAAGTGGGAAAGTGTTAACAACAACATAATAAAAGCATTCTCAGAACTACGTAATCGTTACATTTGCATGTGGTATGTGTTTTGAATATGTCTCAAACAGTTAATAAATCGTAATACGGTTAGGGAAACCAACACACAAGTTACTCTTCACTAGTGCTGAATGTGTAACTATGATGTCACAAGTTTTCGAAAAAACGTTGTATTATGACATTATTTTATGCTTAACTTATTTAAATTTTAAAACAAGTTTTTCAATCGCTAGCTAATTTAAAACCGATGGATGTTTACTTATTAGGATAATCAATCCTCTAAAAGTTACCTAGTTCTGAATAATTAAACTTACACATTTTCTAAACATAATTTCGAATTACAGATAGAGATCTAAATGGGTCCACTAAAAATGAATAATCTCATTCAGACAGTTATTAACTCCGAGATATTTTTATTGCAGCTTATCATAGTTTACCAATCTTTTTAGTAAAACTGTCGGTGGCAGGGAAAATATCGATATTTAGGAAACTTTATCCTAGTTGTAAAATATTGAATGAGAATGTTACTAACAATTTAAGACACATAATTGCATTGAACATCAATAATTATTTTCGTACAATCGTTTTGTTATATGTATTTACCGTCATTGTTGACAATTTGTAAGTCGAATATATAAACCGTTCAAGATGTTTTTAGACAAAAGTTAGCCATGGATTTTTTTCTTCACGTTGGATAAACTGATTCATTGACAAAACGGTTTGTCTGACCGTGCGTGACACTGACGTTCACTTGAGGCTGGTTTGCCACATTTATTGTTATTTAGAAATCATATTATCAAGTTATAACATCTTCTGTCATTAAAATTTAAAATGCCGAAAATTATTTTGTTACAACAAAAAATTTCAATAAAAAGGTGCTATTTGCAAATGAAAACCAACTCAAGCGTGAAGGGATAATAATGAGAATAGTGAATATTTTCTGCGACTTTTAAAGCTTTTAAATATTTGTTAATTAAAAAATTTTTGTAGGTCAATCGCGCATCTGCAGAAAATATTGTCCTTACTAAAGACGAAAATTTGAAAATTTCGTCTTCTATCAAGCTAAAACCCACTGACATTTTTTCAGATTATGTATTTAGAAAATACCTGCAACGATGTTAATACAAAACCTAGATTTATGACGATAGACTCTTGCCGATGACCAACCACACAAAACTGTTGCCAAGCATTCAGTTTTGCAGTTTCCAAGTTAAACTGTTAAATATTTTTATACACACAATTTTGATTTTTTCCCAAAATATGATGTCTAAGGTACAAATTTGAAACGCATCCATAAACCACAAGTATTTTGGGTTGTTTAATAAAATTTAAATAGGATTTAACTGAAAATCTTGACGTCATCAAATTGTTGCTGGAATAATCTATCAGACAAATTTTGGTTAGCATTTTACCACCTATAAGATATTTCTAAAATACACCTAACAATTCACACATATACTCCAGCAGTTATAAAACGTCGAGAAAACATGAAATTAACCGTTCACCAGATGGACTCAATTACAATACTGGGCATAGGTCAGTTGCGCGCTACGGTCAAAAAAATCTACAGGGAAATGTATCCCACCAGGTAGTAGCGCGCAGACGACCTCCAAAGCAATGGTCAGTTGCGTGCTGGGGTCAAAAAGATTTGCTTATACCATACACAGTTATTGCCTATTCTAATAGTTTATGTGGGTGTTATTCATTTAAAAATAAATAAGTACTATACTTTCAGAGAGAATTTCACACATCTATATATCTATGTAAGGCTGACAGTATTTTTTATTGTTCTTAAATTTTCTACCAATAGGTTCCTCCTGTATAAAATAAAACAATTTATTGAGAAATTACTTTATCTTTTTATATATCCATACCAAACATTTTTCAAATCAGCCGAGCTTATTGTATACATGCATTTATCAACTAAAGTACTGTTATCTGTAATATATAGGGCGAACCACCAAGCGCGGGTCCTCGATATATCATTGATTATTATTAAAGATGAAAAAAAAAACAGAGACTAAAGTTGCACTGCTCTTTAAGTAGCATACATTAAAATTCTTTTAGACTGTAAACAGTTTTTGTTTTAGAGCCACAGCACACAACTCAGTTTTTTTTAATAGACTACTCTGTATACTTTTACATACACCTTTTTATTAGCCTATTCTTAGGCATTATAACCACAGTTATGAGTTATTACATTTTTTTTTCACTTCCCGAGCATAAGCTAAATAAGTAAAGTAACCTCATTTGACATACACCTGTTAAAACTTTTATGACTTAAGCGGCTTAAACCAAACCACCCTTATAAGTCAAACTGGCTATTGTATTACTTAACTCATTTCACAGCTACATTATGCCAACAATGGACAGTAATAATCTTGTGGTTCGGGTCCACAAAGCTTACAATAGCCAGTTTGACTTATAGGTAAGGGTGCTTTTTTACAGGTGTATGTCAAATAAGGTTTGTGTTTAGTAATCGAGTTCATCGGACGAATTGCCACTTTTATGTTTTCTCGATGTTCATTCCCATTAACAATTTGATGACGTGATCTCCATGAATTATGTTTTAAAATGATTTAAATTATGTATACAAAAATATACTCCTATACTTATAGTGTACGAATCCGCTTCCAGTTTTTGCTAAACTTTCAAATTTTCACAAAAACATTTGCTAGGTATAATAACGTTGTATGACACGGGATAGAAGCCTTCGTAGCGCAGAGAATTTCTAGGGGAACGGCGACCTGCGATCGTGGCCCTTTCCTTTTTCTTCTTGCATTGGTAATACGCCGTGACTAGTTTTCTTTTGTGCTACGACTAGTATTATCTTCAAGATGTCATAAAAAAAAATTTATTGTTCAAATTAAGAACAAGTCACCCAATTTTTTCGAAAATGTAATTAAAAAAAAACGTACTTCAATAAAAAAAAAATAAAATGTGAGAATATGTCTTTATATAATAATGATAACATAAAACAAGAATTATAACATACAGAACATTTTGTTCGATTGTAGTTCCATTAATAATTTTAGTCCTCTGTTTTGAGAAGACAAACACATTCAAATCAATCTAATTTCTAGGTGACATTCTTTCGATGTATAAATATAAATAGATATTGAGTTTCAGATTGCTATTACCTAATGTTGAAGGACATTTTATCCCGTTAGATTTGTGCTTGAAATATGTTTTACATTGTCCGTACCGAATAGGGACTGCGGAGATGTTATTTACACCGCTGGTTTTTACTTTACAAAAATTATCGTAAAACGAAAATCGTAAAATCAAATTTCAAGAAAATTGGAATAACTTGGCAAGGTCACATCAGAATTTGGAAAATAAACTACGGTTATAAAGCTTAGGAAGAGATCAATCAAAATATGTAAAAATATACAGGGTATTCTATTTGAAAAACTAAGTGGTGTGTTACGCCTTAAAAACATAACATTCTGTGTAGTTGAAAATAATTTTGGTATTTGGTCTTCGAAGAACTGTCGAACTTTATTATTACACTTTTTTGGGGGTAAACTGCTCGCCGCGCACAAGTGACCAACATCCACGACACTTACCCTAAGCAAAAAATGCGTTTAAACATGATTTGATAAAAAATTTTCAGAAAACGTTTAAGAAAATATTACTTTCATTTCGATTTTTTATTAAACAAGACTTTAATATGAAAAAAAATTTTCATTTATACTGTACACAAATCTTCCAATTTGTCAATGACATTTTTCAGTTTTTCCACTTGAACAAGGAATGTTTACCTTCGAGGTAACTCACATTATGTGTGACAATGACATTATTATGTGACACGTGTTATAAGCTTTTCTTTAAAGCATGTTTAAAGATGTCAGCAATCATATTACAATGATAATCATTATTTGCATATCAAATATTCTTTCCAAATGCAAATGGTGTACTTGTCAGAGAATACGAGGGAATCTAAATTAGCAAGTTAATACAATAACACAGTTTTTTCCATGTTTTAATAACCCTTGTCCCTTTGCCGAATTGCTAAATTCGGTTAAATTTTACGTTAAAACAGCAGCCAACCGAAACAGTTAAAAGCTTTTTAAATCATTTTCAGTCATTTCACGAACAAAACGGTAAGGTTTACGTGCTTTGTTCTGTTACGACAAACCAAGTTGTAGGTCAATTATTATTATTATTATTACGTTACTGCAATATTTCATTCGTGACTTCGATAAAACAGTAATAGAGTTTGTGTCAAAAAAAACTGTATTTATATTTAGTATTTCGGTTTCCTAAATTCTCATGAAACGGGAGCATTTGCTGCAAGATACAACAACAAGAGTAAAATCTTCTCCACAACAGTCATCCATATGTCTGATCTGTTCATATCAAATCTTCTTTTAAATGAACTTTTAATGAATTAATTTATCTTAAATAATGCAAATCTTGGTTAGCTGTCTTCAGCATGATTCATCGTGATGCTCATTAAATTGATTCAAAATACTTGCTGTAAGTGCCATATCTGGTCAGAGGTCAAACCGAAAAATGTCATTTTTTATTACGACAGCGCAAAAATATGTACATCTACTATTTCTCCACATGAA